AAGTGATAAGGTCTGGGCCTTACCACCTAAAAAGGCTAAATGGTTCCATAATACCGCGGGATTGGAATGTTGAGCACCTCCGGCCATATTATCAGTAATTCCAAGCTCAGTTTTCCTTGTAAAGATTATTTTTTTATCTTTGTAAATGAAAATAAGTATTATTCTGTTCGCTTGTAATAGTCTTCGCATGTAATTTTGTTGGTATAAACGTGTTATTATGTTCGCATAGACTTGTTCCAATATTATAAGCAGTTAGAATGTGAACTCATGTTCGAACAGAAATTGTAAAAGCAAAATATATATCATTAATATGAAGAGTACAGCAGGCAAGACGATACAACTATTAGCCCTGATCTGACCTCCCGGAGGACCAACCTCATCATCCTAAGGTTGGTCGGCTAGAGGCTTCTCCAGGGCGTGTCCCAAACCCTCTCCCTGATCGGATCTTCGGGCAGCCACTGCTTCATCATCCTACCGCGCCATGGACACGAGAGTTTCCTGCCAGTCCTCCGGGAGGTCAGACATATCAATATGCGGATTCTTCGGCCGCAAGGCATAGATGGACTCGATCGCCCATTCGATAGCCTTCTCCTCGACCTCCGCTGCCTAATTCTGCATCTCTTCGGTCAGGGAAGCAACTTTTCCTTGACTTACTTGGAGTTCAGCCTCGAGAGTTTGTCTTTGCTTCTCGGAGGCCTTCTTCTCTTATTCTGCTCGCAAGGCCCGTAGAGAGGTCGTTTTGAGCTCCTGGTCTCTCTCTCCGACCTCCTTGGAGAGTCTAGCTATGGTCCTTTGGAGCTCCTTTACCTCTTTCCCATGCTTCTCGAGCTCGACTTTTTGGAAGTCCACTGTGCAAAAAGCCGCGTTTCTTTCACTCAGGTACCGGTTTGCCAACTTAAAAGATAGGTCTCTTTCTACTTCGGCGGCTTCTAGGCCTAGCTTGAGCTGTGCGTTCTCTTCCTTCAGTGCGACCTCCCCCTTTGCAGCGCTCAGCCAAACCTTCTGTAGGGACAGTTGCATGGAAAGCAGGGCCTACGAACAAGAAAAAATAGCAAGTTAGGTTATCAAAAGGAGCTAAGGAAAGTCCTCGCCGAGGACAGTTCGTTTACCTTGCTTAAGTGCTGGAGCGATGTGGACATTAGGTCCACGTCACTGGAACGGACGAACTCCTCGAATACTTCCGAGAGTCCACACTCCAGCAAAGTGTAGACTATCGGCTACAGATGTTTCGACAGGTCCCCCAGCAAGTCCAGCACTGGAGTTTCCTTCTCCGCGCCTTCAGCAGAAGTCGTGTCAACCGTCGGTTCCTTACCTGACCTTCTCCCGACGTTTGGCTGCAACCTCCTAAGCTGATCGCCCTCAGATTTGGTATCTGACTCTTCGGCCTGAATTTGCCTTCTTTTCTTCTTGGGTCATTGAGCCGTTGTCTTTAGCCTCTGACGAACAACCGATAGTTGGGAAGCCCTCGCAGGTCGGATTGGTGCGTCCTCCGAAGGTTGAGGCTGAGAAGTTCCACCGGGTCGCACTGGGGCGCCCAATGTGGCACCTTCAGCGACGGGAACTGTAGGAGCAGCATCGGTCGCCCCGGCAGTCTTGCCCGCGAAAAATTGAACTGCCTTCGTCGCAGCGGCTCTGACACCTTCGGAGGCATGGTCGTTGCATGCAAGCATCGTTAGCAAAAGTAATTCATTGCATGACCAGAAAAGACCCAGTTAGCAAGACTTACGCAATGGGGGCTCTAAGGACGCGTTTGCGTTGAAAAAACCATATTTCCGTATATTCGTGGTCGTCACGAGCTTCTTTGTGTCGCGACTAGCTTTGGGCAGGAAGCCAAAAGCTACAATCCTGTCTGGATAGAAGAGCAACCCTAAGTCGGTCGACTTGTTAACTGCCAGAAAGAAGCAGGTCGTTAGGAAAAGAATGCACTTCAAATTTAATGAATTCGCCAAGGGAAAAGAACCTACTCGGGTCCTAAAAACGGCAATGGCCATCATAACGAAAGAAGAAAAACTTCGTTTCGTAGGCCCCCGCGTTACTAGGATAGATGTGTGTTCCCGCGGCTATAGTAGGTCGTCTAGACAAGTAATAAGAATCCTTGGCTTTGCTCTTTTTCAAGTAATACGAGCAGCCGAGCTCCACCACGGTTAGCTCACCCAGCCCGTTCTCACGACACGCAATGTACATGGCAACAACAATTAATACGCGTTTGGCGTGAGTTGCATCGGCACGATCCCGAAGTGATCCGGGAACGACCTGACAAAAGGGTGGAAGGGGATCAACCCCCCACCCTTGAAGATCTCCTCGGAGATCGCGGCCATCCCAGTTGACGGGTATCGCGATGAGCAGGTCCTATCGCGGAAAAGTTCTACGTCGATACCATACTTTTTTGTCACCCTCTCGAGTTGTACCCCGGTGAGTACCGAGTAGACCTTAGGAGTGACATTCGGAGCACCCTGTGAGGACGAACTAGTTCCTTCCTCGGATCTGGTCGTTGAGGGGTACATTCTACTAGTCTGTAAAAGCGACAAGTAGGGGGGTCATTTAGCCATCGTACGTTATTCCGTACAATGACTCGGAAGGAAACAAACTCCCTAAATCCCAGAGAAAACCCTAACAGAATGATTCGAGCCGCCATTCATGGCTCGAACCCGACATGAGCGTCTCGTCTCCGATCAACTACCGGAAGACTAACGCCATTTACCAACCACGGGGAATAAGAAAATAAAAGCAGAGAACGATTCTTACCTCTTGGAATACGAAAACGGTTCCTTCTGCTTCAAATATCAGAAACACGCTGGTTTGGAAGGCAAAGATTCCAAGCTTGCGAAAGTCTCTTGCTCTCTCTGAAAAAGACGAGTGTGGTGACATTGCCTGAGATGGATCTGAGTTTTTATAGCAAAGGAAACGACGCTTGGTTTTCTCGAAATCAAAACGACGTTTGGGCAGAAAAATGTCTCACCATTGATCACGACCACGTGTCGCAGATCAGTGAGGAAGAGTGACCGTCACTATTAAAGAAAACCAAACCTTCATCCTTTTCCGTTGAAAAACTCAAGCGACGACACTCTCTCCCTCAGCATTAATTGCACCCCAATCTGCATTTAATGCTCTGATAAGGGGTGTCGTTTCAGCATGTCATGCATTTAATGTTCTGATAAAGGGTATCACGTCAGCATACCACGCATTTAATGCGCTTGGTTGGCACTTATTAAGCACAGGACACATCTGTCAGAGCAGAGACTGCTTCATTAAATGCATCCTATCGAAAGTACAATAGGTAACGCCTGACGAGGTCAGGTCGCTCGTCCTTAACAAGCAATGACCATGCGAGGTCGTGTTCGCAGAAAGCGCTACCCCGACCTCGTTTCAAACAGGTCAGAATCACCAGAATTTCCCGAAAGCGTCTAGTCGCGGCATGGATTATAGTTTCTAAGGTTCAATCCTCAAACCTTAAAAACTAGGGGACTTCTGTTATGCCTAAAGAATGCAGGGCTGACGTAAGGTCCAGTCAACGTGCAAAAGTCAGAGCATGGGTACACCCGCAGCCGAGTCAAGTGAGGAAAGGAGCAGCATGCTCCTGTCAGTGTAGTGGATGCGTGCTAGACTAGCCAGGAGCTGGAAAGCTTCCAAGTGTCTAATCCCTGCGCCAAATCGCGTAAATCACTCTAGAAGGTGGGCAATGTGACATAAAGAAGAATTTGCACGGATAATCCCACCAACTCACAGATTCAGTAATGATAACCTTAATCCATCCCATTATAAATTGAGAGCCCCTCTCTCATTTAAGGGATTAGCTACTCTCTCTCAAGAATATATAGCATTCTCTCTCTTGTACTATCATTTTGTAAGTCAGTTCGCTAAAGCGACCTGACTTCTATCATTAATACAAACATCAGTGGACGCAGGACTTGCTTCCTTAGCATCCGAACCACTTTAAAAGCTGTTCCCATTGCATTTACTCTCATTTTCTCTCATATTCACGTGTGCCTTCTGAGCCAACTCAACATTTCACACGTGTCTTTCGTTGGTGTCAAAATCACGCATCAACAAACTTGATAAACTGACAAAATGACCAAGGGCTGAAATTGTGTTTAATTGTTCAGAATCGCAAGCATTTTTGAATAAATAATTGTGAACTTGTAATTTATTAGTAATTAGAAAATAATTTGCAAATAATCATGTTTAAATATTAATTGTTCAGTATGGCAAGCAAATATACTATTATAGTGTTGGCTGTTGGCTCGCCCTAAGGGCATCTCCAACCCATGTGGAAGAAGTGCTCCAATGCGATGCTATTTTTTGCACCGATTTGGTGCGGATGAACAGTACCATGCTAAATTTGGTACAGTACTGTTCACCCACACCAAATTCGCGTGGCACTGTTTATACAGTGAATTTTTTTTTTTTTTTGTTATTTGTATTTAAGTTAATTTGATTATTATTTATGTTAATATTTATAATAATAAATTCATAATAATGATATAATTCAAAAAATGAAAAAAAATTAAAAATAAAACTTTATTTAATGCAAATATTAAACTATAGTAACTCAAAATAAAAATTAACACTAATTTAAAAAAACTAAAATTAAAAAGAAATACAACATGAACTAAAATAACAATTTAGTATTTCTGTAGATTAGTTCTGAATCTTCTAAGATCATCAAAATATTAGAAAGAACTAGAGTTATTTTGAGATTCTTGACCTTGTTGTTAACATAAACTAAAATAATATTTTTCTATATTAAATGTAATGTTTATTTGATTAAATAAATGTTTAATTTTATTAAATTAGTATAATTTTATTAAATTAGTATAATTTTTAAAGTAATTATTATTTAATAAAAATATTATTCTCAATCTTTAATTAATATATAAAAAATAATGAGCGAAATAGATTATTATTAGTTATTTTAATAAAGAAAAAAAGAAAAGGTTATTCTAAAAAAAATATTATTTTAGGGTAATATTTGATGCGTTGGAGATGGATGGTATTTCCACTAAAACTCACACCAATTTGATGCAATTTGATGCAATGGTTTGGAAACGGCCTAAGAGCCGCCACCTTCATTGCAGACTTGTACACGTATCAATTCATTTAGAGACTAATCATTTACTGTTACTTCTTGACTCTGTCACCTGACCTGATCCCCCTTGACACTCAACAAATCATGACAGGTAACTTGGGATGTGTGATCGTCGCCGTTGACGGCAGCGAGGAGAGCATGGACGCCTTGAGATGGGCGCTCGATAACCTCAAGATCAGAGTCCCTGCCCCCGCTTCCATCGAGCCTCCCGGTTGCTTCACCATCCTCCACGTGCAATCGCCACCGTCCATCGCTGCCGGCCTCAATCCCGGTGCCATCCCCTTTGGTGGGCCCAGTTAAGCTCCGCTCCCTCTCTCTACTACCAACAACCTTCTATTATTGTGTAATTGTTTCATAATTTCATTTGATTCGAGTTAAATTAGTTAAAGGAATGAATTCTAATTTTGTTGACTTCACTATTTTTTCCCAGCAGATTTGGAGGTACCTGCGTTTACTGCGGCGATAGAAGCTCACCAGAGGAAAATTACTGAGGCCATTCTGGAACATGCGTTGAAGATTTGCTCTGACAAGAATGTGAGGATTCATGTATCATTATTTCTTATTTACTGTTCACGCTGTATTTGTTCAATTTGGCTCCGTTTGAGTTACTAATATGAACTAAAATATTTTTAAGGTATGGTTGGAATGAGAAATTTATCTAGCGCGAAGAAGAAAGAAAGAAAGAAAACCGTTCGGCATTGTTTGGAAAACACTATCTGTTTTCTTTCAAAACCAAAAAGAAAAATTAGTGTGTGGTTAGCTATTAAAAATACTTTCATGAAAGATAATAGCAAAGGTTCACTTTGTAAGAACTACGAATAATGAGAAATGTTGGTTTCTAAGGGCAAAAATCTAATAGAAATACTCACAAGATTATTCTCCTTGGATAAGTTGTATAGAGTGTGTTTCCAAGTAATTTTGGTTTATATGATCAGAAAAGTTCTTTAAAATGATTAAAAGGAATTTTTGTATCTTTTTTTGTCTAGTTGAATTAGCAAAGACCCCTTAGAAAAAGGGTAATGCTATTTGTAAAAACTCTCGTACAAAGAGAGTTTGTACAAATTGACGAGACACGTCACATGACATTAAGTTATGTGGTCACCAATGCCATGTGGCATGTCATGTGACGTGCCACGTCAGTTTGTACAAACTTACAAACTCTCTTTGTACGAGAGTATGTACAAATAGCTTTACCCCTTAGAAAAAACTAGGAATTTTTGGTCAAACACATTTCTCAACAAAAATAATTACTAAGAGTGTAGGGATAATTTGTAGCGTTTTTATATGTAAAAAGTCGTTTTACCTGAAAACAATTTACCACAGTAGTACTCCTAGGCACACTTAGCGTATTTGAGCCTATTATCTTATCAATGAGTGCAAAGTGAAAAGCCAATTACCACACATTTTATGCTAAAAGGCATCAAATTTTCGTTTTCTTGTATAAGATGAAATGCTAATTGCAAAATTTTAAAATTCATATGATACCTTATTACTGATCATGTCCTTGCATTCCTTTTATATTTTAGTGCTGCCATGGGCCCATGGTGTGATTTGAATGCTACTGAGCATTGGCTTGATTGTATCGGTGCTATAATAGTGGATAGGAGCCAAGCATTTGGTAGCATTCAACATAGTCATAGTGTATATATACTTTTGTTTTCAAACATTATGCGTGTCAATGTTATTTCAGGTGAATGTCAAAACCCAAGTGGTGGTTGGGGATCCAAAGGAAAAGATCTGTGAAGTAGTTGAGAATTCGCATGCTGATTTGCTTGTGATGGGCTCTCATGCTTTTGGCCCTATTAAAAGGTACTCAACTTTGGAAGATAGTTTTATTGTATATTGATTAATAGTATCATCACATTTTGGTTACAAACTAACTGGTGTCTGTGGCTAAATGTTTAACTTGGTAGTCAACTGGTGCTGGTCATAAAATTGAAAGTCCCATTTGATGCTATTTCTCTTCAGGATATTATGGTCACATCTGTTCACTCTAAAAATGGTATTGGAAAGGTTATATAGGCATGTCTGAGAACCATGCTGTTTTTGATGTAATGACATATTGAACTGGTTTGGTTCATTGGTTGTAGTAATTTGCCTTTGCTTGTAAAAGAATCTGCCTTGTGGTGAAAAGTTGCTGCCCTTTCTTGAAAGAGCCCTGCTGAGTTACGGGCTTGATCAGGCCTTTTACCCTGGGGAACAGGGGAAGGTGCTATAAGGTCTCCGGAAATCATTACTGAACCATATTATCGATTGTTATAGATGACAGTCTTAAGTTGTCATATGACTTCCTGTTTAAAAAATGAAACAAAAGTCTCTCCTATAGCATGGACAAAATACAGGTGGAACCATGTGGTTTTAAAATTCATCAAAACCCGTCTTGGAACTATTGAAATTTGTGATAACATATAAGACTTGCTCAGATTTATTTCAAAAACCTCCACTGGAGTTTGTTAAAAACCTTCCATGTGGGAAAGGTTATTGACTTTTTCCAGATTGAAGGCTCATGTCATACTCTAGGGGAAAGTTAGATATATTTACTAAAACCTATATATATCCTTTTTCCAGTATTGTAGGCCAGGGTGCATCTTAAACTTGTAAACAACCAATAATATTCTCAATATGCTAAAGACTGTTAAACCATTGAAATGTCAACAGGATGTTTCTGGGAAGCGTAAGCAACTACTGTGCCAACCATGCAGCATGCCCAGTTGTCATAGTTAAGGGCAAGGGTGCAACCTCTTAAGCATAAGTAGGTATGTTCTCACTTCTCTATTTGAGAAATTCTTGCAGTATTTCACGTCCTGTCTTCGTTTATGTACATGGTTTACACTATGACATTAATAAATGTTGTGAAGTGAGGATCAATGTAGTATGATATTTGCTAGACAACTTAAATGAAAGAGTGGGGATCAATGTGGTATTGATGTTGATTGGGAAATTATGATTAAAAGCCATGCAGCAAACCAAAATAAAGCCTTTGAGAAGTAATGGAAGAAATTCTGGAATGCTCATCTATACACAAAAGCCTTAAGAAACATAAGAAAACATAAGGGAACTCAGTGAACACTTCTCTTTCAAGGATGATTCTTTACACCACCTTTGAAAAGTTTTACATGTTCTCTTAGTGTTTTATTTACAATTCACGTTAAAGATGTGAGAGCCTGCATTCCTAAGCTCAGAACTTGTTTTCTTGGCTGATGATAAACTTTCTGGTCATGACTTTGTTGGAAAAGCCTTATTTTGTCTATGCCTATGCACATTAGATGGGCTTTGCTATATCTTTAAAGTTCACTTGCCTTCCAAATAGTGAAATTAGTTCAATTTAGAGAACTTGTTTATTAGTTTGATCTAGATTTAAGCTTATGTTAAGCTGCTTACATCTTTGTACAGGGTGATACTGCTGAGCAAAGTTACGTTTAATGGAGTGCTATTGTGATGCATAACCAGGATTGTTGGGATGTCGTGTCTGAGTTGTGGGCGTGTAGTTTAGGTACCTGCTTTTGAGCTACGCAATATACTTGCATTTCTGTATCATATGCAGTGGTTTATGAGGAAAATTTGGGTATGATATCATTCTTGTTTGTGTTGTTGTACATGTATGTAATAATGTCAAATTTCATCTTTTGTATTCATTAATTCAATTCTGGTGGCTATTGTTGCTGTAAAATTTGTTTCAAGTGATCATGAGCCTTTAGTAGTCTTTTACTCTTTTGTGTAGCTCTGAAACCAAAACACATGAAGTTCCGGAGGTAGATTTCTTATGCTTGTTAACCTCGTGCAGATATTAAACCTGTTCTGTTTAAAAGCCAACGGATTACATTCTTTTTAATTGAAAGTGAGGTATCTCATTGACGGTGATGATTGCTCCTGTACATCTAAGATCTAACAATATTTATTTCAACATTCTTTTTTCTTTCATAAGATCAGTAATTCTCTTGGATTTGGAAAATTTAATACAAATGTATTTATAATGTACAGAACTCAAACTGTCTGTGTGAGCAATTAAGTTTGGGTTGTAATAATTTAACCTTTAAGCCATAGGTTGGAGGGTAGGCTGGTAGCAGCTAGAGGAGTAGGAAGAGCTGGGAAGAAATGTGAAAAATAAATAATTTTAGAATTTAAAAAAAGACAATGTTAGAATCCATTATCCAATAGGCAAAGGGTTTCAGTTCAGTGGCATAAAAAAGAGAAATTTGGCAAAGATTACCGAAGCAAGTCGTCATGGTTAACAGTGGTGTCTTTAAAAAAATTCAGATGAAGCTAAAACAAAATATATTTCTAATATCTACAGCTGCATCTAATGATATTTTTAAAGAGAATCCTAAGATGATGAACTCTGATCTATAATATATGTTGGGATACAGATGGTTAAAAAATTGATGCTTTTGGCAACATCTTGATCTACTGCACAAGACAAGCTGACAACCTGCATTACTATTAAACAAGGAGACCTCGTGAACCTGGTGGGGGCTCAGGCTCATCCAAATAATTGAGGAATTACAGTGTCAAAGTCTTGTTTGTGGCCCTTTACTCCTTTTAACTAATTTTGTCTTTATAATCTGTTGAGGATGCATTTTCCTGAAATATGTATGGATTAACTTCTGTTTCTACCCATTATTGCACCAACTTTGGTGAATTGTGGAGGATGAAGATATGTTCCCTTCATATATATACAGCTATCAAATTGATTTCCCCAGCCAATTCAAAATTGCTTCTTCTGTAGCCCTAGTGCTAACTGAAACTTTTATCTAGCTACATAAGCTATTTTCCCTTGGTTAAATTATGTGCGCAGAGAGGATAATGATTCGAAAAAGAAGTCAGATTTCGGCGAACATTGAAATTGGATAGAAACTGCAGGTCGTACAGAATATATGGTGGGTCCAAGCCATTAGAAAGTCTGTGAATTGTGAGCCCGTGACCGACCGCATCTCGTGCACAGCTCCCACATATGGACAAATCGTAAATCATTCTTTTGCCGTCAAGAGTTCACGAGTAGCTTCTTATTGCCGCACACCCAATTTACCTTTACCATAACCAAAACCACCGAACTTTAATCATCACCATACCTCTTTAAACCATGTCCCACTTTTGCCATGGTTTCATTGGTTGATACTTGATTTTAGACACCAATAATCAGGGCTGTCTCTAGAACATTTGTGACCCTAAGCAGGAGTTACTTTGGGACTCTCTAATAATATAAGCACATATTAAAAAAATTATTTTTTATTTTTTATTTTTTTTGCCTTTTGAGATGAAAAATCACTAGGAGAGGTGGACAGCAACCGACAGACTAACAAGGTTAGGTTGGTGGGGGGTTTTGGAGAGTAGATGTTGGAGAAGTGATGAGTGGTGAAATGGGTGATTTCCAATGCCAAGATTGATAAGAAAATGCTTGAGAAGTCACGGCCCAAAAGGTATCGATGGTCGACGATTGGCAGAGTAAACAAATAAGGTATAATAGGGGTTTTGGTGAGAGGGCTGAGGGGAGGAAGATGGTGGTGTCGGGGAAGGCCAACAATGTCGAGTACATGCCAAAAAGGCTAAAAATGGTTGTCGTGTGGTGGAGTTGGGTTATGAGATTCATAAAAAATTAGTCAAATCGAGGGCTATCAAGGTTGGGAAATGATAAAATGATGATTTCGATCGATTTTGGTGAGAAAATCGATCGGAACCAAAATTGACCGAAATCAATTCCAAACCACTGGCGGCAGAAGAGGGTTGGAGATTATTTATGTGAATGTCAAATTTTGGGACTGAATTAGGGGTGAGTAATTTGAGATATGTAAATAACTATTTTAGTCTTCCATTGTTAAAAGAGATTCAATATGTTAATTTAGGTGTATAAACTAGAATATATAAAACTAGAGGTATAAACTTGCTATTTTGTTAAACTTTGGGTGGGAATATATGTAAAAAGTTTATAATAAATTTGGGCTTTTTTGGCTTTTTTTTGGGGGACCCTTGGCTTAGATAAGAAATTATAAACCATTTTCATTTTTGTAAGATATTCAAAAAAACAAAAAAAAATTTATAAAAAATTTGGGCCCCCATTTTTTTGGGGCCCTAGGCAGGTGCCTCACCTGCCTACCCCTTCAGCCGGCCCTGCCAATAATTTACACATGCAAAGTGCTAAAAGAGTCTTAAAAATTACACGTGATGGATCTATGAGATTTGAATATAGAGCTGAGATTATATATGTTGCAGAAAACATAAATAATAGACTGACAAGAGAGATTTTTATAGTGGTTCGGATGCTTAAAGCAAGTCCTACATCCACTGTTATTTTATTGATCTCTGACTATTTTTATGATATTGCCCATAAGGCATACAAAGATGAAGAAATACAGTGTTTATAGAGAGAAAGAATTGAGCTCAAATTAATGCCTAGCTCTCATATACCCAGCCTTCCTTTTCGGGAAGAGAAGTGTCAATTTATATACCTTTGAGGTCAATGTAATGAGTGTTTTGCAAGTTGCCTTGACACATAGAAGACTCTCGTCCATTCATCTCTTGAAATGAGATAGGATTGGTATGAATATCTTTGAGGAGATATGGGCTTGACAGCTAGTACAAAAAGACATTTATTGGGCTAACATAAGCTTGACTTTTTAGGCATAACAGAAGCCCCCCAATTTTTGGAGTGCGTAATCGTGCTTCAGAAACTAAGGTCTTTGATCTAAATGGCTGTTGCACTATAGGCTGTAGTCTCGAACTGAAGAGCTCGAACTATTCCTAGTGCGATCGAGTGTTGAGAGCTAGGAGCTGATCGTGATCTGGGAGCTAGAAGTTGATCACGATTTGATAGGAGCTCGACTTGAGAGCATAACGAGCTCGACTTGAGAGCTTAATCTGAGAACAAGTGATCAACGATCTGAACACACGATTTGAAGCTAAAGATCAGCGATCTAAAGCCGAAGATCAGGACGACCTGAGCGTGCGATCTGTGATCTGGCCACGCGATTGGAGAATTCTGACACATGCGATCTGGCCACACGATCGGAGAACTCTGACGCGTGCGATCTGCGATCTGGCCACATGATCGGAGAACTCTGACATGTGCAATCTGCGATCTTGCCACTCAATCGGAGAACTCTGACGCGTGCGATCTGCGATCTCGCCACTCGATCGGAGAACTCTGATGCATGCGATCTACGATCTGGCCACGCGATTGGAGAGTTCTAACGCGGGCTTGAGATCTGAGCACGCCATCAGGGAACTTAGACGTAGGTTTGAGACCTGCATGGGCCACCAAACTGTTGACGCTTGATATTGGACGCCAACGACTCGCACGTGCAAAGTGCTAAGAGAGCCTTAGAAATTACACGTGATAGATCCATGAGATTCGAATATGGAGCTGAGATTATATATGTTGCAGAAAACATAAATAATAGACTGACAAGAGAGGTTTTTATAGTGGTTCGGATGCTTAAAGCAAGTCCTACATCCACTGTTATTTTATTGATCTCTGGCTATTTCTATGATATTGCCCATAAGACATACAAAGATGAAGAAATACAGTGTTTACATAGAGAAAGAATTGAACTCAAATCTATGTCTAGCTCTCATATACCCAACCTTCCTTTTCGGGAATAGAAGTGCTAATTTATACATCTTTGAGGTTAATGTAATGAGTGTTTTGCAAGTTGCCTTGACACATGGAAGGCTCTCGTCCACTTATCTCTTGAAATGAGATAGGATTGGTATGAATATTTTTTAGGAGATATAGGCTTGACAGCTAGTACAAAAAGACATTTATTGGGCTAATATAAGCGTGACTTTTTAGGCATAACACACTGACTCTTGGGGTGTTCCTGAAAGGCAATAATGTGGTTTTGGGTGAATAAGGATGCACAAATTTGAATTCAATAATACTAACCTCACTAATCTCTCTCACTAATCCTATGTGAGAGTTTGTGATTGGTTTAATTAGATGGAACTTATTATTGGATAGGTGAAAGTTATGTAAATCGATGAATTATGAATTGACATGTGATATTAGTAAGAAAAAGTTAGTAAAAAGTATTAATGATTATAGGGTTATTCATTTGAAATTTTAGCTTCAAAATAACCACACTCTTTGGGAATTTCGGCTTCGTAGTCTGAAACTCTAAAGTTTCTGTTTGTCCTTTGTCCTCTCCTTGAATAAAGGGTATTTACTTTTGTCATTTAGCAGCTTTCTATCCAACTGGAGCATTTTTTTAATCTCCTAGCCCTACACAGAACATTATATATCTCAACGTGCTCATTGGCCCAGTTAACAATCAACTTGGCGTTAACGGATCAATAATTGCAAGGCTATTTTCGTCATCTAGTGTCCTCTAATTGCAATAAATAACGTATCGTTTCTCAAGTTCCATGCACACACACACTAACTACACACTTTTCCCATTAGAGTCCAAGCCATGGACTTCACCACCACCACCCTACTCTTCTTTTCTCTTCTCATCTCAACAATCAAAGCACTTGACCTTTGTTCCTCCCAGTCTCACGGCTCAGATGATCTCTCCGTCATTCCCATCTATGGCAAATGCTCACCATTCAATCCACCCAAACCTGACTCATGGATCAACACCATCATCAACATGGCCTCAAAAGACCCACAACGAGTCAAATATTTGTCAAGCCTAGTGGCCCAAAAGTCCACCAAAGTCCCTGTTGCTTCTGGCCAACATGTCCTTAATATTGGCAACTACGTGGTCCGGGCCAAACTCGGTACCCCGGGTCAACTAATGTTCATGGTTCTAGACACCAGCAACGACGCTGCTTGGGTTCCATGTTCCGGCTGCACTGGATGCTCCTCCACAATTTTCACACCCAACACCTCATCCACTTACGCCTCATTGGAGTGCTCCGTGCCCCAATGCACACAGGTTCGTGGACTCTCCTGCCCGGCCGCCGGCTCCTCCAACTGCCTTTTCAATCAATCCTACGGTGGAGATTCCATATTCTCCGCTACCCTTGTGAAAGATTCTCTAAGTTTAGCCAATGACGTAATTCCAAATTTTGCTTTTGGATGCATCAACTCTATCTCTGGGGGCTCGGTTCCACCACAAGGGTTACTGGGTCTGGGTCGAGGATCCATGTCACTTTTGTCACAATCCGGCTCACTCTACTCGGGTGTATTCTCTTATTGTTTACCCAGTTTCAAATCTTACTACTTCTCGGGCTCCCTCAAACTTGGACCCATGGGTCAACCCAAGGCAATTCGAACTACCCCACTTTTACGTAATCCACACCGCCCATCATTGTACTACGTTAATTTGACCGGAGTCAGCGTGGGCGGGGTTAAGGTCCCCATTGCTCACGAACTCTTATCCTTTAACCCGAATACCGGATCAGGGACCATAATCGATTCGGGTACAGTCATAACCCGATTTATTGAACCGATTTACGCTGCAATTCGGGATGAGTTTAGGACACAAGTGAAGGGTCCGTTTTCAACGTTGGGTGCTTTTGATTCATGTTTTGCAGCAACAAACGAAGCTGTTGCGCCAACTATAACGTTCCATTTTACGGGACTGGACTTGAAGTTGCCAATGGAGAATAGCTTGATCCATAGTAGTGCTGGTACACTGGCTTGCTTGGCCATGGCGGGTGCACCGAATAATGTGAACTCGGTGTTGAATGTTATAGCCAACTTGCAGCAGCAGAATCATAGGATTCTGTTTGATGTGGCCAATTCTCGCTTGGGAATTGCCCGTGAGCTTTGCAACTAGTTTTAGTATATCTCTCTCTCTCTCTGTCTCTGTCATATAATGTGTGGATTTGTAATATTTTTTTTTTTTCATGGAAAATAGGTTGTTTAACTTATAATTAAACAGGATAAAACCTGTTGTTTGGATAATCAAGCAGTGTCTCAGTTTTACCTTCAAAAATTCTAATATGTTAAGCTTTGTTTATAATAGTAAGTCTTTTTAGTGGTAATTTGTCCGGTTTATTGTATGAGTTGAATTTCTGGATGTGGACGTATCTTAATTTAATTTGTATATCTCCATCTACTCTTGAGTTGCTTCTTTGAAATTCCAGCACAGTGAAGTTATACATTTTTGGATGTTATGTTGGAAAGTGGGAAGTTGTTGTCTGTACTTGATTCCAAACTATATATGTATAGACAAAAATTAGTAGTGTAATTAGAAATTCAGGCTTCGGTTGGTTCACAATTGGGTGTTTTTAAGAAAAGTTTTCTGAAAAAAGTTAAAAAAAAGTTGAATTGGACGGGTATTACGATGTAGGATTTATAAATTAATAAAATACCCCCTATATTTGTTTATTTACAAAACACCCCCTATAATAAAATCTTAAAAGTTAACAAAAACACCCCCAACCCAATGTCAAATACGGACAGCCGGCCACCACCGCCGGAGGGTGGCCGGGTTCACCGTATTGGNTGTTTAACTTATAATTAAACAGGATAAAACCTGTTGTTTGGATAATCAAGCAGTGTCTCAGTTTTACCTCCAAAAATTGTAACATGTTAAGCTTTGTTTATAATAGTAAGTCTTTTTAGTGGTAATTTGTCCGGTTTATTGTATGAGTTGAATTTCTATTAATAGAAATCATTGTAGATATATAAACTTGTCAGCTGTGGGCGCTGGATTTGGACGCATCTTAATTTAATTTGTATATCTCCATCTACTCTTGAGTTGCTTCTTTGAAATTCCAGCACAGTCAAGTTGTACATTTTTGGATGTTATGTTGGAAGTTGTTGTCTGTACTTGATTCCAAACTATATATGTATAGACAAAAATTATTAGTGTAATCAGAAATTCAGATACTATAATCTTCTTGAGTCATCTTCGCAAAGGTTCAATCTTCAGAGTCATCAAACTCTTTGCTGATGAGATGATGGCAGAACATCAATTAAATCATCATTTACAGACGGTTGTTAGAATATAGTAAACAAATTGTTGCACAAGTTGTGATATTATGTTTATAGTCTAGAACAGCATATATAAGAGAAAATGGTGTCAAATATATGGATTTCTCTTATAATTACAGACAAGAATATCCATGATATGAGATGAAGGGGTGGGTACATAATAACCAACAATAAATAAAACCAATAAATACACAAATGATATTATGCAAATAACAATTAAAAGAATAATTAATATTAGACCTTTTTGTAGCTCGCTCTGGTTATTAATTAAAGAATATATATATATTTTTTTATAAGAGTGAATTAAGTCAACCCCACCATTGATGCACCGCAACACCCTCGTCCCTGAGCCTCCCATACAAAGCCAAACACTCCCAATAAGCCCTACTTCTCCCATTTTGTTTGTTGCCACCCGCTTTATTATTCGGCCTGCACTCCAAGAAAAGTTCATCTACAAGCCTAATAGCCTTGCTCTTCACCATCTCCTCCACCACTTCTGCCTCTGCCTTCATCACCACATACTCTTCCTCCTTCACATTCTTTCTCAACCAGCTCGACATTCCCGCCTCCTCTGTTACTTGAACCACCTCCTTCCCTGACCACTCCTCAGTCACTGTCTCAATCTTGTACATCTCAAAATGAAGATTCCTTGTCGGGTAATTCTTCAAAAACCATTCTGTGCCTATTGCCTTTTTATCTTGCCAAGGCAAAACTACATCAATAAACACACGCCGAGAGTAGCTCTCAAGCGTGTCCCCCGTTAAATCAGGCAGGTATCTTGTTCTCTTCAGATATCTTCTCGATCTTCTTGAGGCTGCTCGTGGTGGTTCCAGGAGGACATCTTCTAGATTCCTCAATGCAGCTTTCTTTTCATCTAATGTGGACAAAAGCCGTCTTCATGTGGCAGAGTTTGTTTCAATTATATTGTCTAATTTTCTTATTGCTATAATGTTCGAATCAAATCGTCTTATATAAACGATTCTGTAGTTCAATGGCTTTTCAAATGCAAGGGATGGATTTTGAGTCATTTGAATAGCAGCAACACCTCCTACTGTGAGGGTTCGGTCAATGAATTCTGCGGTTGCATGGAAGTTATTTGTGAAGACAAAGTCAAATGATTCATTAGGAATTGCGTTTTGTCGCTCAATATCTTTGGCAGAAATGGCATCCATCTGATTTTCCATTACGATTTGAGAATTGTAAATAGCATCTTCATCACCATTGCTTAAAAGGAGTGCTTTATCTCCAAGTTTCAAAATGCCTTCATTCTTCAAATCATGGAAGAGCAATGACAATAGTTCAAAGTTAAGGGAATCAAAGCCAAGTCGGGGACCAAGTAAAACGGCTAAGTCACAATTTAAGGATCTTCCTAAAATGGATCCTATCCACGGGAATGAACAAATGAGCCATAACAAAAACGCGAATCGAGCCACAAGCTTCAAAACCCTAAAATCGGGGAGCTTGATGATCAAATATTTATCTCTTTGCTTACCACAACCATCAGGCAACGTTCTATACTTCTTTTGGCGTTTGATTTTGAAGCCTTGCACAAGTTGTATTGCCATGTTGGAAACACAAATCAATGCGATTTCTAACCGAAAATTTTACGTAAAAAAGAAAATTTATATGACAGGTTGTCTGAGATTGAAAAAATGCCAGCGACAAATCGAAAAACAAGATTAAAAAGAGAGCTATTTAAGAATGGCATAAAAGAGAAGATTGAACTTGAGGTATATGGTGAACCAATACAGCTTAGCGAGTGCAAAACCTGGCTGCTGTGTGATTTCCACCCACGAGAGTCATGCGGTTACTTTGCAGTTTAGAGCATGGTAACATCAAATGCTTCATCCGCTCCACCTCCATGACTTTCTTACATGCCCAGATCCATGAATTATTTATAAGACCAATTTAAGCCACCCATCATCATCTGGGATAATTATGTCAACCACTAAAAAAATAAAGGAGGAGGTGGGGGAAACCAACTAGAGAAATGTATGTTTTTTGATTCTTTCTTCTCTTTTTTTCTTTTCTTTTCTTTTACTGGGATGGGGTGATTGAATGCGGCGATGAAGAATATATGGAAAAGAAAGAATTCATAGAGAAGTTAAAAAAGAAGGGTGTAAAAGTTGTATTGGTAAGATTTGTTGAAGTTGAAGCAACGACAAATGAGTTTATTTACCATTGTTCTGTAAATGAATGGAGTATAATTATCCTTTCAAGTCGCTAGGCGTTTGTTGTAACCTACGCGAATTTTGGGTTGTCATTGCCGATCAATTGATCAAGCCGGTTTAGATCGATGGTGGATTAATGGTCTATATTTGAGTCTCTTTCATGGGGTTATTTAGCACAATTTGAAGTCGAAAATGAGCTCTCCCGGGTCATGCATATCTATAAAGAAAGTTGACTCTAATTTTGATCAAAATAAGATAATTATGAAGCCAATAGTGCTATATTTATAAAATACTAATAATTGCTACATTGAATCGTCAACTAAAAACTGAAAAGGAAAACATAAGATAAATCAAAGTTTATATTCATGCAAACAATGTATTTGATATCTCCAATTATTAGGCCACAACCACAAAGATTACACAACGAGTAATACCAGGGCGGATCCAGCCCACTTTTGGGTGGGTCATGGCTAATCCTTAATTTTTTTTTTTTAAATACTAATATATATAATTTTTAAATTTTGGTCAATCTTAACAAAAATATTAATATATAATTAGTTTTATTTTAGTCCATCCTAAAAAAAATTTCTGGATCCGTTATGAGTAATATTATATATACAATATTATGTGACAAAATATAATTAACTAATTTTAAATTAAAATTAAACTTTCATCATATTATTTTTTACTGCATAATATTATATATGTTATACTATTCATCACACAACATGGTAAAGCCAAACCACCAGCAAAGGTGTAAGGACATATATGAATTAAATTAAAGCAATAGAAGCCTGGAAGAATATAGATCCAGTCAAATCTGAGTAAACTTATTTGGGGTACTCTACCTACCTTGTGAGTTGAGGTACAAAAGCCGAACGAAGCTACCATGTAGCATTTTTCTAAGAAATGTGACGCTTCATCAAACGGCTATTGCTTGGTAAGCCTGAGATTGGACGAGTTATAACACTTTCATGGTTTTTTAAAAGTATCATGTACTGTATCTTCTTTTCAGGGGGTGGTTTTGATATTTTCTTCACGGCATAAATGATAATCTCAGTATCTCAAGGGGTAGATGATAATCCATGGCGTATACAGTATTTTTCAAAAATTGTGGGTGTATGTGTATCGTATTTTTTACAATCTCTAAAGGGATTGGGGATCTAAATTAGATAAATAAATTGAAAGTGCATATCAAAAGTCGCTTTGGCCGAGTGGTTAAGGCGTGTGCCTGCTAAGTACATGGGGTTTCCCCGCGAGAGTTCGAATCTCTCAGGCGACGATTGTTGCTCTATTGGCCAAGTTTTTATTTATTGGAGTGACGGCTTTTTGGGCCATGTTTTATTCAATTGCAATTAAGATTTGGGCTTTGAATTCCACCTCTAACAACTATCTCCCCTACATAAGCCTGGGAAATGGGTGTTTTAGGAAATCAAACTGTGAATATTAAATCTTTCAAATCTTTAGGTAGACGTGTTGGTTGGCCATACAAACAGAACATCGCTTCAAGTCAATCCACGTGTCCTACGTTAGATGTTTTACACCTATAATAAAATTCGATTTATTGAATGATTAGTTTTGTCTACTCTGCTGTGTTGTGCGCACCCCGCACATATCTTTTATGTAATTTTTTAGGAGTTTTCAAAAAGACCTCTAAACTCAAAATGGGATTATTATTTTACCCAATAACCCAAACAAATGGGGCTTGTGATTGTGATGATTAAGCCCAAAAGAAGAATATAAGAATGACGTGGAATAAATTATGGTTTGAGTCAAATGTTAGCTCTGCTCCGGTTGCGATAGGAAGGGGTGAAAATCAAATATTCTTTTCTTGAAAAAAAATTAGAAATAGTAAACAGTTGTTTAAGGGCATTTGTAGACCGGCAAACAGCCGCGTATTCGTCCACTTCCTCCCTCTTTCCCCTTCCTCTCTTCCTCACTATAGATCCTCACAACTCTTCCTTCTGGACTTCAAAATTCCGCTAACCACCCTTTCTATGTTTTATAGATCTTTACTTAGCTTTTTCCTTTTCAATTAATCAAAACCTTAAACTAGAATGGGTGTCAAAGGTTTCGTTGAAGGCGGTATTGCCTCAATTGTGGCGGGCTGCTCCACTCATCCCCTCGATCTCCTCAAAGTTCGTATGCAACTCCAAGGTGAAAACCTCCCCGGCACAAACCTTAACCAACAAAACCTCCATTCACTCCGCCCGGCTCCGGCTTTTCAATCCAGTTCCGCCACCGTCATTCCCTCTAAGTCCCTTCATATCCCTGTTTCAACTGCTCAACCACAACCTCCACGCGTCGGCCTCGTCTCCGTCGGCAAGCGGATCGTCCAAAGCGAAGGCGTTGCCGCTTTATTCTCCGGTGTGTCCGCTACCGTGCTCCGTCAAACACTCTATTCCACCACCCGCATGGGCCTCTACGATGTATTTAAACAAAAGTGGACTGATAAAGACACTAACAACATGCCTTTGACTAGAAAGATAGCAGCCGGTTTAATCGCCGGAGGAATCGGTGCGGCAGTTGGTAACCCCGCTGACGTGGCAATGGTTCGAATGCAAGCCGACGGTCGGCTCCCTCCCGCTCAGCGCCGTAACTACACGAGCGTGATCGACGCCATTACGCGAATGTCAAAACAGGAAGGAGTTACTAGCCTGTGGCGCGGATCATCGCTTACGGTGAACCGGGCGATGATAGGGACGGCCTCACAGTTAGCGTCGTACGATCAGATCAAGGAGATGATATTAGAGAAGGGAGTGATGAGTGATGGATTGGGGACTCACGTGACGGCGAGTTTCGCGGCGGGGTTCGTGGTGGCAGTTGCGACGAATCCGATAGATGTTATAAAGACGAGAGTTATGAACATGAAGGTTGAGGCCGGAATGAAACCGGCTTATAGTGGGGCCATAGATTGCGCGTTGAAGACTGTGAGGGCTGAGGGGCCCATGGCGCTATATAAAGGATTTATTCCTACGATTTCCAAGCAGGGACCATTCACTGTGGTGTTGTTTGTGACACTGGAGCAAGTTAGGAAACTGCTGAAAGAGTTTTGATTATGATGATGATGAAAAATTTGAGAATTGAATTGTTCCATTGATTATTATTTTTTAAAAATTATGTTGATTTCGGTTGATATGATGAGAAGAGGAATTTATGTTTCCTTAATGAGATTATTTGTGCTGGGATATTAAAATTGTCTTTGAATTTAAGTTTGAACAAGAAGAAGATGGGAAATTGTAGACGTTCATAGATGTTGCGGTGTCTTTGCCTATAGACGTGTGGTAGGCACAGGCACGCCTTTGATTAAGGATCGTAGAAGCTACTTAATGGGTGGAATGGAACTTTAAGTTTAAGCAATCAGAACTCAGAAGGAAATAGTCTGGTGTTTAAATTCTACTACAATCATATCAATTAAACTACTATCCTAATAAAAGATAATAGAAGCCACCTCACCCTTTGAACCAGATTTCTTGGAATTGCAAGCAGCGGTAGGCTTGGAGTTGCTATTGTTTGTTGAATCCAGCTGCTGGTTTTGAGATGAATTTTTATTCGGTTTAGAAGTTGATTCCCGCTTCCTCTCGTGATTGTTATTTTCTGCAGCTCCATCCAAACAAATATCCTGCTGGATTATTATTTGGTCAAGAAACAAGTTAGTAGGTTTCACGTTGAGACTATTACTCAACAATATGCCTCAAATTCCAGCATAAATTTACCTTGCTTGTTGACCTTTCAGAAACATGTGAAGGAGCAGAAGCTTCAGTATCCCTTTTTTTGTCCCTCCTGTACCCAAAAATATAGATTTAGTGAATAGATAGGAAAAAATAAAAAGAAAGGAAACAATCTTAGCACAACCCACAAACTAAAAGATGGTTGCCCTCTCACATTTATCAGCTTTGAAGCATAAATTACATTTGTGCACAGACAGTGGTGATACTCATTCAAACAACTCAAACATATATCTGATATCTGAGACTTACAACCTTAATTGGACCATCTAAAATTATGAAGAATTATAACAAATGCCCAATGGGAGATGCAACAAGGGAAGAAAATCTAAGCAAGGAACATACAACTTTGCTGACGTTTGTTGGAGCTGATTGCCTGTATCACCTGTGGAACCATGGTTTTTTTGGAGTTGTTGATTCAGCTGCACTCCAAGATCATCAAGCTTCTGCTGCAAACTGCCAACTTCTGATTCTGCTCTTAACTATGTCTTCAATCTCTGCCTTCGTCTTTAGCATGTTTACATGTTAAAATTTTTAATGCAAGATCAAGACCAATTATAATAGTCAACTTTGAGATAGACTAACCTTTTCATCAATTGTAGCTGGACAAGCTATAGACCCCTTAGATGTGTTAAGTACTGATTCTAAAGCTGTTTTCTTATCTCTCTCGTTCTGCAACTGATCCTGTAGTCTAGCCACCTGAAAGTACAATTAACACTTAGAGTGTGTTTGGTTTAGAGAATGTTATATAAATGGAAAGAAAGATTACCTTGAAGATTATTGAGAATATTTAGGGAAATGTGTTTGGTTAGGTTGAAATAAATTGGTAAGTATGTTTGGTTGGGAGGATAAATGGGTACATAAGTTATATAGACTATTAAATAGCCCTCTTTTTTAAATATTATTTTTATTATTAATTTTTTTAATAATTCTTTTAACTCCCTACATTTGAAATTTTACTAAAACACTTCAGGCATATAAAACTTTAAGTTATAAAAAAATCACCCCCACCCACCCAAGGGACTATCGGCTGCCGGCCACCATTGTTGGCAGCTGCCATAACGGTGCACTATCGGTCGGATTTGGTTGATCGTGCGTCGTTAAGACCATTTTTTGCCATGGATCTGTGATAGATCCATGGCTAAAAAATGGCCAGATCTAGCATTTTCATGGCCAGAAACAGCCTTATCGGCACGGCTAGCCAAATCTGACGATCGTGTGCCGTTTTTGTGACTATCGATGGTGGCTGACGGTTGATAGTCCCTTGGTTGGCTGGGGGTGGCTGTGGTCTTGGGTAATTTTTTGAAATTCAAGGGTAATTTTGTCTTAAAAATCTTGAGTATGAGGTTTAAATTGTCCATAAATTTTATGGTAAATTATTTGGATAACAAGGGCATTTTTGTCCAAAAATTTTATTAATAAAGAATAAAATTGTAACAAAAATAAGATTACCAAATAATCTTAAAATACTTAAAAAAATAGAGAAAATCAGATTACCTCTTATATTATTAATAGTTTTTACTATTGGTTTTGGAAGATTACTTAAATATTATATTACTTAATAAGCAAACGTGATAATAAAAAAATATATGATGATATTACCTCAGTAATCTCATACTATCCCCAACCAAACACACCCTTAAGATTTCTCTCAATTTCCCCTCAAAAGTTTAATAGACAGTTGAATATCAAAACTACTTGTGTGCAACTAATTTCCCAATTAACATACTGTAGATGCAAAATCTACTTTTATGGAAAGGGGGACTGATCCCGTAAGGTTGAGGCCATTAGCGATCTGCTGCACCTGCACATATAAGAAAACAAGCGTGACGCAGACGGAAAACACCAGGGTGGTGTTTGTCATAAGCACTCAGATGCTCAAGTTAGCAAGGCTGAGTGAGGCTAGTTTAGTGAGGGTTAGGGAGAAGAAAGGTTACCGGAAGTCTAGTTGGGGACTGTGACTACAACTGTAATGCGGAGTTCTCAAGGGTGGGAACTCCAAGTTTGAAGGTATAATGTCTCTGTCCTTTGTGAGAGGGTTGGCCTATGTTTAAATAGTGACTACATGGTCTTCGAATCCTGATGGGACTGGGAGTCCTTACAGCGGTGGTCCTCCCAAAGAGTCGAGCCTTTGGCTCCCTTATCTCAGCAGGAAAAGGAGTGCTAGTGTGCCTATGATATAGACCTTAGATGAACTGGGAGAGTAATTGACTTCCTTAGTAGAGTTCAAGTAGTACTGTAGTTCATAGGCGACTGTGGGCTCCAAGTTGATCGTAAGTCCAGAAGGTGTTCTAGGATCAGAAGGCCTAGGTTCGGATGGGGAGGAACTAGGAAGGAACACCAGACGGGCCTCATCTGCAGAACTCTGAGTTGGGCCCCATCGGAATTGGGCCTGAGCTTTTCAGCTTTGTTGAAAGTGTCTTCGTCTTTGGGCCTATCTGGGTCGAGAACATTTTTTTGGCCCTAACAGTTTGCCCCTTACTCTCTGAGTTAAGGTGTGCTTAGCTTAGAGAGTAGACATTGCTTGGAGGTGACTCTGGTCGACCTTTGCGACCGACCGGTTGAACTTATGAATGTACTACTTCTCTGTTCCCTTGAACGAATGGTGTAAGCTCTTATTGTCGGCGGGGAATTTGGTACGCCATTATACCTAGGCCAGGTGAAACGTAATCATAGACGCGTTCGGTACGTCTGACCAAGTGGAAAGGTGAGTCGACCTGGTCGGACTCGTCCAATATACCAAGATGAAGGGGATCATAAAAGATTCTGCACGAAATCCCCTCACTCGATCTGCCTTCCCGAGAGAAAGGTCTGCGAATCCTCCTATGATGGTGTATTCGTTCGGTATGCCAAAGCGAGTAACTATGTGAGTTGTCCCCTAGAGGTGTGCCCGCTCGGTAGTCCCCACTGAGCGAAATACGTTAGGATCAACTTGGTGGTGGTGCCTTAGGCTGGTTGGTTGAATCCGAGCAGATGGGTGTACATGTGCTTCAAATCAGGGAAACTTGTTCACTCAGTCGAGATGACCGAGGGGTGGAGTTCATGTTTCGCTAAGCAATGTTTGGTGTGAGACTAGAGAACCAAGGCTGGATAGTCAATAATTCCAATGGTAACCCCGTTCGGTCGGGTGAACCGAGCGAGTGGTTACCTTTTGGGAACGAAGCTCAGCTGGATAATCCATCTCTCGACACGTGTACGATCGAGGAGTCTTCTAAATTTGGGCGGGAAAATCAAAATCACAGGGTTCTCGATGACCAGTCGTAGGCTGCCACGTGTTAGCTCTGACATCTTTTCACTGATAAATATGTGGGGGCAACCACTCGTTTCATCTTCTACTTCCTTTTCTTTCACTTTGTGTTTTTCTCTGAACTTTGGGTTCTCTTCGCAGCTTTGAAGGATTTCGGGATTTTGGCCATTTCGATGGTAAAAACTCATTCCTTTATGCTCTCTTCTGTTTAGTTTCTTGTTTTCTTCATTTTTGTGGTGTTTTTTGGAGAGATTGAGCAAAAGGTTGGAAAGTTTTGGTGGGTTTGGTGGCTTTTTGAAAGGTTTTGCCAGATTTTTTGGAGGTGCCGTGTTTTATTTTTAGAATAGGTTTGAATTTTGGGTCGAACGAAAAAGGTAGACAAAAATCTTTTGTCGACGATTGAGGGTTCTAGGTTTACGATGGTTTTTCTAGGTTTTTAGAAGATAGAGCTGATTTATACAAATTTCCCATTCGGCTCGTCTCGGTCTGCCTGACCGAGTCGAGTGCGATGTTCAGCTGGGTTTTGAAGTTGGGTAATCTTTTTGGATCGATCGATCGATCAATTTTCCAGACCGAGTGGTCGGGAGCAAGGCTAGTCCTTGGTCATCCGAACCTAGTCAAATGTCGAATTGGAGTTGCAAAATTTGGTATTTACGGATCGGGCAGCCGGTGGCTTAGGGCGAGTGGGCATTAGGCGGTTGTGTTTTAGATAGGGAATCGATCGGTTGTTCAGGTCGAGCTGGGATCAGATGGTGCTAGGTTTTGGAGAGGGAGTCGATCAGTGGTGCGGGGCGAGCAGGGATCAGACGGTGTTAGGTTTTGGAGACGGAGTTGGTCGATGATGTGGGGCGAGCAGGGATCAAACAGTGTTAGGCTTTGGAGAGGGAGTTGGTCTGTGGTGCGGGGACGAGTAAGGCTTTAGAAGGGGCAGGCTCTGAATTGGGAGAGGTCGATCTCCTGGGGCGAATGGGTAGATTGCTCAATGACTAAGTCAAGAACAAGCAGTTCGAGTGGGGCTGAGGCAGAAGTTGGGGATGAGTACGAGAATGCCCCGACCATGGTGATAATGCCCAAAGGTGGGGGCGTTCCAATCAATATACCGATCGGGATAAACGTGGTTGCCCTTGGGATAAGTGGCGCCACCCCAAGTGATGACGAGTCGGATAGGCAAAGGGGGAGTGGGGAAGACTCCGATAGAGTTGGTGATTCTAGGAGTTCACCCTCCACCAGTAGTGGCTTCAAGGACGAGCCGACTTGGCTTGGCAGTGGGATACTAAGTCGGGATTATCCGCCCTTATTGAAGGACAATGATGTGTGATGGATCCGGACGATGTATCACATTTAAAATTTTATCGAGGTCAAGGCACCACAGTCGTACGAGTGAGTCGATTGGGAGGCGAAAGGTTGGGTGAGTGTCTACGAGAAATGGTTTCACGATGGACTGAGGCTTCACATCCCTCGCCTTGTCTGGGAGGTCCTGAACCATTTCATGATCGCCTCATCCCAGATTATGCAGAATAGATGGAGGTTACTTATGGCACTAAAAGACTTTTGTGTGCTGAATCAGGTGATGTTTGGGCTGCACGAGTTGCTATATTCGTATTTCATGAAGGAAAACGATAAAGAGAAAGGTCGATATTTGATCAACCTTAGGCGTGATCAGGCTCACCTAGTGACCGACCTTTGATCGAGTGACAAGAATTGAAAGGAGTGATACTTTTATGTGAGGGGTGAGGCGGTCTTCGGGGA